CAAAGAGTTGCTGCGGGACTGCCTTGTAGGTGAGGGCGGTGTAAGCCATTCGCCTTGCAGTCAATCTCTCGAGACCTTTACCCAGGGAGGAGAGAAGTGCGACAGGCCTCCATCCTTTAGCTGTACTGAGGTTACGGCCGGGTTTGGGGAGAAGGATTACTTCCGCTAGCTTGAAGGCCTTCGGAAAGTGATTCAATCGCAGTGAGCCCTCAAAGAGTACTCTCACTGCGTGACCAATTGATGGCCAGGCTGTCCTAAGAAGACGAACAGAAATCGCGTCTTCTCCAGGGGCTTTATTTTGGCAGGCCGTTGTAACCCACTTGGCTTCCTCGTCCGTAGCGCTCGAGACCCATGGGAGGTTTCCGCGTCCTGGCTCGAAGTCCTCAGCGTCGACGTCGTTCTGACTGGTGAACCGGCCGAGAAGGAGGTCGCGCAACAGAGTTGCTCGCTTTCCTGGATCCGAAACAAGACCATCTGGAGTTTGGAGTGGTGGAGCAGTTGATGTAGGTTGCGGCTTAGCCCAGCGTGCCATCCGATACATGTCGACGTCGGTTGTTGCTTCGGAGAACTTTCGCCGCCAGTATTGGCGTTTGGCACTTTTGACTATGCGACGGAAGTCCTTTCTACTCTCTTCGTCCCTGAATATCCTATATTCGCGTTTGGCCTGTAGGCACTCCGACGTCCACCAAGGTGCTGTCCTACCCTTCTTCACACTCCCGCGTCTACCAGTGACCCTGATTGCGTTGCTAATAGTTTGGACCAGCTTATCAGCAAGATTGTCCACCGCGTCTACTGAAGCCATCGGCTGTAGCTCTATTCCTTGAGCCCAACGGCCTAGCACCTTTGCAAAGTCTTCGAGGGCGTCGTCTGTCACTCGAAACGGTTGGCCTGTTTTGATAACAGCTCTAGCTTTCGAGTTCGGACGGGGGACGTCTCCTGCAAGAGTTCTGTGGTCCGATGTCGAGTCAAGCTCTATCGAGACGTCTGCAAGGGCTCCCGCGTTAGACCAGACTAGGTCGAGTGTGTTTCCAAGATCGTGAGTCGAGACGCCCGGGGTCGAAGATAGGTCCATACCGTGCTCGGACATCCATTTGGCGAGCACTTGGCCGTCACCGTGTAGCCTGGTGGCCATGGGCTGCCAGTCAGGGTGGACGGCATTGAAATCTCCACCAACTACTGTGGGCCCAGACGGGGCCCATGATAGGAGCGGCGAAAGGTCTGCTCCAGGAGCGCGATACACTGAGACAAACGTGACTCCTTCAACCTTTACGGCGGTAAGATCTGGTGATGCCTCGCAGATTGCTAGTTGTAGGCACTTGGTCCCTTTTCGCGTATAAATGAGGGATCGTGGCCTTGCGGGGTTGGCTGTGACATGGGGGGGAAGTGCTTGTCGAACCCAGGATGGAACGTGGATGTATGAGTTCCTTACTATTTTTTGTACTTGATAAAAGTTATGTAGGTGTTGTACAGCTGCACTAAGCGTGCATCAGGCATCAACATGTTCTGGGTAAATAGTGATTGAAAAAACCGAGCACATGATATAATCTCAATGTATGTAGTGCTAAGTAGTTTTTTCCATTAGGTAGAAACAAGGTATCAATTTGTAATTACATGAAATACAGTTCCACCTTTATTCTGACCCAATTGATCATATCGACTAAATGCGTTACAATTTGTCATAACTAAACTTTTGTTGTACTAGGTAGGGTTGTGTTTTTTTATATATACAAAAAGGAATTTTCCCATCTACAAGTGAGCCAGATCGCTTAGATCTGGCTAGCGGCTTTTGCCATCCTGTTCCTTCTCCCCCGCATGGCATCACGTGATATACAGCTGCTGCTCACCATGAAGTCCGAAGATGAAAAGCGTTAGATTACAACACATACCTCTGCATTTGGAGTCTGCAAAGATTTTTGTTTTTGTCAATGGCTCTTTTGTGTTCGGATTAGGTCCTGGTCAACAATGTCTAGCCTAATTGTGCTATGTTGCAGGCTACTGTTACAATCATTTATGGGGTCATCATTAGGGTTATGAGTAGTTTCTGTCAGAGGAAAGCTAAGAATGATGTAGTTGGGTCTGAATCATGAGCTATATTTAATCCAAAGAGAGAAAGTTCTATGTACACGAAATTATCATACAAACTGTGTGCCGAGGCCGGAAGATTATCAGCCGAGCCTAACCAGATCAAGATGAGTATGATTAGGCGAGCGCAAGCGTAGTACAGTTCACAACTGTTAAAGTTTCGGTTTGGTGTGGGTTGTTCTCAAGGAGCCGTGTTTATCAGGTTTCCGTAGGGTACGAGTTTGGTACAAGTAGGTTACAGGTTTGGAGTATGGTGGTGATTCCTAAGAGTAGGAGGTATAAATTCAGCGTTATGTATCGGGTTCACGTAAGAAGTAAAGGTAAAATAAGTAGTAGGTGAGAAGGGTACAATAACGGCGGTCTTCTTTAGAGAAGAGATTAGTAAGTGAACAATAGGTATGAGTATAAAGAGAAGACGTTCCGTGAAGAAGAATACTCCTTCACTCTGGGTATATATGTACATCAGATAATAGGACAGCCCTAAGCTCTGTCTCGAACAGTATTACTACGCAATCCCTATGAAACGACCCTATGTTCCTGAGCCTGTCCTAATTGTTTGAGAACTTGATCTAACCCCGAGTTGTGTTTTAGAATGGAACTCCCCATGAGACACCATCCTAGTTTCCGCCACGTTTATCCATGAAAGTCTAATGCCTGTTTTTAGGTTCGCTTCTTCTATCACCATCTACGGTGTGACTAGTGTTGGTCCTTCTAAGGTATAGAGCCTATCTGGTACATTCAGAGCTAACACCGAGATCCATTTGGAAGCAGCTTCCAGTTTCATTTCCGTGCTCTCCAAGAGCACGGCACCCGAGAGGAGCGCGTTTCTTGCTGCATCTCCCTCAGCTTGTATCGCGAACCCTGAGTTGACGACAGTGACCTACTTGATCGCAGAGTTAGCCAAGCGTAGCTTGCTTGCGAGGCTTATTTTGATGTAGTGAGGAGACATGCATTTCCACGGGTGGTCGGGCTTGACCCGCAGGAACACACACTCGTCTGGGCGGGCCGGCTTGGAAGAGAGGGTGCTTGACCTCGGTGATTGTGTAGGCCCAGTTGCTTTTGACTGGAACCCGTTGACTGGTAGAGGTGTTGGCGCTACTGGTTGTACAGGCTTTGGCTTTTTCCTGACCACCTGGGTCCAGGATCTCTCAGTATTGTTTGTGTTTTTGGGCTCGTCGCCTTTGACTTGCCTGGTAGGTTTTGTCGAAGCCGGCTCTTTGCCTTTCGACTGGCTACTGGTTTCCCTAGCGAGGATTTGCACGGGTCGTGGGGTGCTCGCGTTATTCTTTCCTCCTGGCTTTAAAGCCGGTGTCGGAAGGGTTGTCGTCTTGCTGCTACTGGCATCCTCTGATGGCCCACTGGATAGGGGCTGAGGGTTTCCGCGCAAGATTTTTGTAATAACGGCCTGTAAAGCTTCTCCATTCTTTTCGACAGCGCGTCAGAGCTGTATGTCGGTTGTAGCAGCCATTAGGTTAATGTACCCACTGACAATACGCTCAGCCTCTGCGAAGCGTAAATTAAAAGCCCTCGCTTCATCTGCGAGGAAGTTAGTCATAGTGACACCTAATGACTCGGTTTGGTTAGGGGGCGAGTATTGGAATCTCGCCCCGCAGATAGGTTCCGCGTTTTTTTGTGTAATACTTGGATGGTTGGGTGGCCCTATAAGGACCATTTCGACGTCGGGACGCGTCGAATTAACGGGTGGAAGGGGGGGCCAAGAGCCAGCCTCTGCGGAGGACTGGGGCGGCATGAGTAAGTGAAAGGTATTTATGACAGTAACAGGTCGTATATGATATATGATTTCGTCACTTGGGACGTGGAAAGATAAATCTGTGTAGGCAGCCAAAAATGTCGTTGAAAATGTGCTTTTCTGAGAATATTTTGGTTTGTTTATGAATCACAGCTTTGTTGGTTGATACCCGATAAATTTATCTTAAAATTTGAATGATATTTCACGCTAGACCTAACTAATTGAACATGCATATATGATAAACGATCACTGGCTGGCTCTGATTTTCGGGTCGAACGAAAAACTTCATGTAGACCATACGAGTTATACACAGCCCTATATAAATGCGAAGTATGCTAGGTTCCTAGCACATTAAACAGCAGTAAGGAAGTAAACAGGTCAGCCTGTAAAGTTAATACTCGGGAGTAACCTTTGACGATCCGCTCCATCGCCTTCTGGATTATAGTATTTAAAGGGTTTAGACTAAATCCATAGTAAATATTTACACTAATAGTTATCGACTTTGTATTTTGGTTTGTTATCACATACACGGAAATAGATTCATGAGATTGCTAAATGAGAGGCTAGGATTGATCCCGATGTAATTTGGTTGAAGACTTGTCGTTCAATTTCGAGGCTACAATATCTTCATATATCTACGTATTTACCCCAGATTAACCATATCCGCTAGCCATTCTAAATCTAGCGCGCATAGCCTGACTTATCTCATGGTTCTGGGTTAGAGTTGTAGATTCCGAATAGCAGTATTCTTTTGGCTACTACAATACGTTGCAGCTTTAGATATAGTTTACCGTGCGATACTTCCACCTGAGCTACATGCCTCCTTGATATGCTGCCCGCTCGGTAATCAGTGAGATAACCAAAGCCAAACCTGAACAATAACCTTAATTACGAACCCATGAATACCTAGGACAGAAGTCTGCAATCTAACACAATTAGGTTAGGAATTGCCAACTATAACCTAATCCAAACAAAAAGACATGATCAACAAGAAATAGGTTATGGCTTTCAAGAAAATTCTATTGGATTGTAATATTGTATCATTACCTAGTTAGCCGTTTGTTTTCCTGGTCCTTAAGTCTAATTCTTCATGTCGAGATCTTGGTATAACAATTTACCCTGCCACTGCTATCATTTGAGTCCACATATCCTGTGCAGAGCTAGGCCTTTAATGACCATGCAGACTGTGAAAACCAGTGGAAACTAAGCTACGAGGACCAGATGGCGCATCGGCAGTCCCCGTCCAGTAGAAAAGCCCCTGATATTGTTAGATTTATGTGTCATGAGAAAACTCGCTGCTTCCAGGGTACGCACCCCAAGTCCCTTCTCTCTACAGTATTTGGCCTTTATTCTCACGGTATCGGGGTTATCATAGGTGACAAAGCCCCCATCACCTCCATAGCAAGATGCGGCAACAACATGAGGATTGACAGTTTCTTGGCAGTTCTGCCGTGGAAGATCCTTGTATTTGAAGGTGCCTTCATCGCCAGCGTGTCCAGTATAAGTTTGATCCGGGCCACTTGCGCCTAGAAATGATCTTCCATAGACAGGTATACCAAGTAATAACTTGGAGACGGGAAAGCCAGTTGAAATAACATAATTCACTGCTGAAGCACCGCAGCACTCATCACTTTTACTAGCGTGGAGTTGGGCGTGATGACCAGCTTTCGCAGTCCAGGACCCAGTAAAGTCGTAAGCCATTAAATTTACAAGGTCAAGATACTCATTAGCCTTGCGGAGATCAATATTTTGTAATGCCCATTGTCCAGCCGGTAAAGCTGCTGTAAGAAGATATTTTGCGTCGGGTAAGTAACAACGAATCGCTGCAAGCAAGCTGATAAAGTTACGCCCTTGCTCATGGTCTGATGGGTGCTCCCAATCAACTAGTTATTCGATCAGTCTTTCAAACAGCAGCGTCAAGCTGGTAATAAAAATGACCTACTATCTATTCCGTCTAAGGCGTATGTGTCGACGAGGCATCTGGCCGACTGCCCAAAAGTTTCGCGCCCATGCTTGGTTGATGCTACAGCAGCAAAGTTTTGCGATGAGGCGCCACCCCCAATTGATAAAATAAGCTTTAGATGACTAAATTGTTGCTTTAAGCATGAGAGTGACGCCAAACAGCCCGTCGTGCCGTCCACAGGCATCTGTTTATCTGCCCATTCGTCGCTCAGCTAGAAACTCAACGTAAGTCCTAATCAAAACTGTTTCCATTTGACAAATCTTACAAATATTTTTCCTTCTACATCTACGTGAGCAAATGCGTAGAATACATGGCTGACGCAGGCATAATTCAATGATGCCGGCGTCTCTCCACAGTATACAGCCCAATTCGGATAATAGATGGCATTAATCCAGGATTTTCTTCCTACATCCACAGTCACAGTACTTAATTTCTGCTTTCTCCACCAAAGATTAAACTTGGGTCTCGTAGCATGCGGAATTGGTGGTGGTATGGAGCTGAAGATGTTGGGCATTTTTCCCTTTTCTCCTTTCTCGATTGTGCATCAAACGATTAGGGTATTACAGATGGTTGAATGTACCATGGGGATTTGCATTCTCGCTCTTTTGAGACGTCAGTGTGGTACATGCCTATCAATTTTTTAATCCCCGGCGCAACCATCATCCAATTGTAAGGCCTCTTACACCTTCGATTGTCTCGATTTGCTGACAACTTTCTATTAAGTCACTGTTTCTGTGCGACGACCAAATGAGATATTTTACTCACACCAACAATTAAACTCTACTCCAAGTACACATGGCAAATAAATTCCGATCTCCGATGCATCTGCCACCCGTTTGAGTCTGAGCGCATGCAACCAATTTCCAGGGAACCATTTAAAAAATTGGCACTTGATTACTGCTCTATGTACATGTTAGATGATAATTCTGTTTTCAGAGCCAGTTGTTCATGCCAGAGTTTCTATCACGATTCTCCACACAAGTCTGAGTCCTGAATAGGCCCACAGGGTCATGGGTTGATCGGATTTCAGATGCACCAATCATAGACAAATTAAGTAGATCCATGACCTTTTAGATTAGAGAGCTATACTGAACACCTGCACTGTCAGTGGTGTCCTCTACGAACCTGGGAGTGAAATATTCTCCCAGAGCCGAGATTCAGTCACGAAAAAGTGTGGGATTAATTTTGATTGATGGATTTTCGACTTGAAGGAGTTGCACTCGATATTTTGGTCGAAAAATCAGTCGGCAGAGATTTCACTGCCGGAACAACGTCGAACAAAAAGTCATCACCACCAACATACAATTCACGAATGGCCCTAGGTCTATCTGGGGGTCGTATTCAAACATCTGACATCTCCCAAACTCCTTTTATACTTGCGACGAAGCATGTCTCAATCGATCCTACACCTGCGACCTACCTCCATACCCGTCCGATCACCTACCTACACACGCTCTAATGAGGAAAGTCATGATGGAAACGGGACGTTTACAAAGGAGGAAGAAGAGGGAAGACACAACGAGGGGATTACACAAATCCCCAATGACGAAAACAACCCGACGGTGCGATATGAAGGTGCAAGGCTAGAGCAACGATGAGATCTTGGACGGCAATTATATTTCGGAGTCAATGAGGATGTCAAGGGCTCGGGCGCGTGGTGGCCGAGGCTGAGGAGAAAATCGTGCTACGGCGTGTATACAGCGGGTCTCTGGACGGTTAGGCTTGGTATGATTCAACACATAGGTGAAGTCTGAGGTGGTCCGGTCATTTAGATGGGACGAGGTATATCTGTACTTCACGGTAGTTAACCTGATCCGGCCCAACCCCACACGTGCTTAAGCTCCAATAGGAGTGCAACGGTAGCCATGTAACCTAGCACGTTAATGAACAAAACAAAAAACGGAACACCTGTACGCGGTGTCTCTACGAACCTGGGATTGAGATATTCTCCCAGAGCCGAGATTCAGTCACGACGAAGGTTGGATTTGAGAGTTTTCGTCGAGTTGGTGATTGGGTAGAGTGGTGTTGGCTCATTTTTGGTCGAAAATCCGACTTGCAGAGATTTCACGACTGTACAACTCAATGAAATCAACCATCTACACCCCAGATACGTACTGCAGACAGGTTGTAGCCTGTCTGATGTTCGTATTATAACAAGCGACACCTTCAACATATTTTTCCTCCTCTGGAAAACTATTTTCAGCCAAACTCATCTGGCGGCCCTCTCAACAATCATCCCATCACTTACCAAAGCAATCCCATACCTCCAAAAGCCAAATCGCCATCAAAGAAGTAAGAGAATGTCCGACCCTCGGAAACAGCCAGTCGCTGTGAAGGTACGGTCGAAATACCGGCCCCAGATGCGTCCTCACCTCGGCCAAGGGCACCAACAACTCGACCTGTGATGAATCGCCACTGACAAAATACGTACGACATTTTGCTGGCACACCAACCAGAGCGTTCGACAAAGGCTGGGGCACCGGTGCCTCGGTCTTGAGCTCTCAGTCGCGTTTTCGACCTCCGCGGTTAGCGGTACGATAGCGACGAGCAAGGCCAGAGGGGTGGAAATCCACAAAGTTTCTGGGATGACGAGATCGGCTGAAGGATATAGGGATGCTACATGAAGGAGCAAAAGGGAATACAAATTGAGGAGGCCTCCTGTGAAGAAAACGACCCCTGAATAAGATGAGGAGATGCTGAGATGAGCCAAAGCTGGGACTGAATGGAATGGAAAAGTTACAGATCGCGAAGGTGTCAAGGACTCGGGCGTGTGGTGGCCGAGGCTGAGGAGGAATTTGCGCTTCGGCGCGTCAAAAGAAGGTTCTCTGGACGTTTGTGCTTGACATGATTCAACATATGGGTAAAGTCTGAGGTGGACCGGTCATTCAGGTGGGATGAGGTAGATGTACTTAATGGTAGTTAATGTTAAATAAAATAACTGTTGGTCAAACATAATTATTCTTGTACCTGAATATAATGGAGTTATGGTTGTGACTATTGTTTACTTAGGTGCATAATAAGTAAGGCGTTTGGAGATATTATATACCCTGTATTAGTAGTTCCATATTAGCGTGGAGCGAGGGCTAGGTCGTAGCATTAGGAGAGAGTGCAGAGAAGCACTTGCAATACACGCTCTGTATTTTTATGTTAACCCAATACTTTATCAAATCTACTTCCAGTAATCCTATATCAGTTGTCTAAGAGAATCATATTCTAATAGTTAACCTGATCCAGCCCAGCCCCACCCGTGCTAAAGCTCCAGTAGGAGTTCAACGGTAGTCACTTTACCTAGCACGTTAATGAACAAAACAAAACAGCCCATGAATCTTAACATCACTATCAATTTATCCTCTATTCCAGCAAACAATGTCTCTCGAAAAGTCTGCTTCAGAAACTAAAGTTTGCAGGCATCTAACTCGCGATCAATGTATTGAAATAAGAACATAAAGAAGACTTGGCTTGACACCACAACATATATCCGACGAACTTGGCTTCCCAATGAGGCAAGTACAATTTGCGTGTTCTTGAGAGACTGAGAATCCTATACCTCGCAAAGGACGCTCACCAAAATTAAGCGCGGAACAAGTTAATGAGCTTGAGGCTTTCGTCCGGGAATCACCTGAAAATTGAGAGATGTGCTATTTGGAACTAGCAATGGGACCCCTCAGCCACTGGGGATGCAATGAGCATTAACTTTCAAATGCCCTCAATAAAATAGGTTACAACAGATGCATTGCTCGGAAGAAGCCTCCGTTAAGTATGACTAACATGCACGAAAGATGTGTAGCGGTGATTAAGGCAAATGGAGGGTACACAAAGTATTGGGATGGAGCAGACTAATACAAAACATGTAGTACGCTTTCATTTTACTTGCGAGCCAAACTGAGGGCTTCGATGTAGACTTTTGTAATACAGAGCAATTATTTTTAAAATAGATGTGTATTTTTAGATAATATCAATTGAATTTGATTTTGATTTCAATTAACCCGATCAGGCAGCCTATGGGTCCATGCAGGTGACCATCTGCATTATTTACAGAGGAAACCAATTTGGTGAAAACCCCCTGATCCTGTCTCTTTATGTTCCTATCAGTTCAATTGGTTTACCTTCAGGAAGTGCAGTGTACACTGTTCAGCAAGTGTGGATTCCGTCCTCTCCCCTTCCAGATCTATTTATTTTTTCCGACATTGCTACCTCGACTTCCCCTGCAAGTCGAAACCGTTTTAGCCACCCTCTGTTTAGTATCCACTGTGTAATTCTAGCCATATCTTCTGGGCTGTTCACCATTGCTTCAAATGACCTGTCTTTAGCTTGTCGGAAAAAGTCGCCTCTTCCATTAGCCCACTGCGGACACGCCAACACCATATGCTTGACGATTTGCGATGGATATCCACATTGACAGCTTGGCTTTTCTACTCCGTGTACTTTTCTTCTGCTCAGGTAGTGTTACGGTTTGACCGTTGTTTGAGCTTAGGTGAATACCCAAGCGTATTGTTGAGAATGTTTATGACAAGGCTACATGGGGGGATAGATGAAGCTGAATAAGACGGCACTACCAGTTAAGAGATCGAAGCCTTACTACAACTAAGTAACACCTGGCAATGCGTGGCTGGGTAGCAAGTATTGTGCCTAAGGATAAGTCATCAGTCTGGAGATTGACTAAGAGGACTAATTCTTACAAATACCTGTTAGTCGTAGCTAGAGTTCTCTTTTCTCCTTATATAGTTTAATAAATCGGTTTATTCGCAACCAACTCGGTTTCTGTCACAGGTAAGAATTGAGTCCGATATGCTCGCTCCTTAGCTGAATGGCAAAACTGCTTTGGGCCCTGGTTAGGCTACGGTGGATTCTTAAGGGAATATCTTTGAAGTTCATTTTGGCGCTGCCTGTTTGTTCATCAGTAAATATATTTGCCGCTTTCCAATAATTGTGGCATTTGAATTTGATTTCATTTAATCCAATTTGGCGCCGTATGGGCCCATTCAGGTGCCTATCGTACTTTCTAAAAATAATAATGGGAGGAAACCTTTTGGTGAAAAACTCCCAAACATTCCTGTTTAATTTCTATGTTTTTTATGATGTATCCTTTAGGAAGCGCAGTTACACTAGAGTGTCATCCATGTAAATCAACCACATCATCTCTACCCGCCCCAAGCATTATTGGACCTTTTCCTTTCCCTCAGCATCATTTCGACCACCTTTGTCATCTGGAATTGCGCGATCCAACCATGATTTAGGATCCACTGTGTTATCCTTTTGATATCTCCAGGATTGTTTAGCATAGCTTCGTAGGACCGACCTTTCGCTTGTCTTTAGATCTCTCCTCTTCCATTTGACTGTCGAGGGCAGGACATAATCATGTGCTTGGGGTTCTGCGATTGGTAGCTACATGGACAGCTTGGACTGTAGACTCCGGGTACTTTTCTTCTATATAAATACGAGTTGAGACCCATGTGCTCAATTCGTATTTGAATCGCTAGACTGCTTTGGGCCCTTGTCAGGTTTCTTAATTGTGGCATTGCTTTCGTGTATTGGACAAAGGTCCTAGCCCCTCACGTCTAAAGCCCATAGTTTCGGTAACCTAAATATTAATCAAGAAATATTTGGTCGCTCACTTCATGCTCTAATCCTGAGCCATATCTCTCGCTCCCCAACTGGCGCGAGCATCCACTCATTTGCAGAACGTTTAGGGATAGAAGAAGGCATTCTCAACTAACATGAATAATAACTTTCTCGCATCACAGTCTTAGGCAGAGATTAGCAAGAGATGACATACGAGTAGAGGTAGCGGAGTTTTGATCATAAAATAACCTAGAAATGCTAGTCTATGTTTGTTTGTAAATAGTCGTTCTAGGCAGTGGAATCCCCGCCCTTCCATTAGAGCTTGAGCATGGGTGGGACAGGGGTGGATCAAGTAAACTATAGTAAACGTACAAATTAAGCCATGTCCCACCTGATTGGCTGCATTTGTGCCATTACCCATCTATGTTTTGTATTATGACTAGTCTAGCAGTCCAGATTACAAAGATAAAATTACAAATATCTCTATTCCGGCATCCTGCGTCGCCTAGCACGCGCTCGAGCCTAGATTCCAATCAATCATTTCATATCGTATCCCGCGAACAGTAAAATTCTGTCTACCTGGTCTTAGGTACTCCCACCATCCGCAACTAGCCATCATACACATTCCGCTTTCCTAAACATCCCCCATGAACAGCTGCTGGTGATTTCCTACATTGAGTGAGATGAGTCAATTAGCTTTCTCAGCCACTTTCGCAGTGAAATTTTGCTGTAATTTTTGATTCGGTTCAGCATAGGTAGACTTAATCATAGTTCATGACGCCCTGAAGCTGATGCAATCATCTAATAATCGCAAATGGCATAGGCTTACCTATGAGGGAGCGCTTGTCGACTGATTTAAGCATACAGATTATAGGCAGTTTACTTGATTGATATCAGGGCAACCATGAATATGCTTAGCATCGAAGTGAACGTAACCAAAGACTTTAATTTTGAGGATTTGAGACCGGTGTGGTCGATTGTGCGCTAAATATCCGGTCTCATCGGCACCTGATCGATATTATATTGAACCCAAGGTTAATAGCTATGCCTTTTATGTACCCAGGCAAAATGGTGAAACGAACGTCTGATTAAGCAGTTATTTTTATCCATGTGGGTTCCCGAAACCTTTGAACCCCCCTTGTATGTCCCTTCCAAAAGATTCCTTACCACTACTCCAAACTCCCAAGGTTAATTTAGTCTCCCATTTATATATTCGCTTTTAAGACTTCAGATTAATAGCAGAAAAGTATCGGCGGAGTAAGGACTTAGGTGGTATCGGTTTTGCGTCGTCAAAGGCAATTTTCAAGCGTACAAGGCGGTCTTTCCAAAAGCTAACATTGAGATATTAGTAGCTGAAGTAGTTTTGGGAGAATCACTGAATATCAATGGCTTAACTTACAGAAACTTTTCAATATTTCGTTCTTCACGGCTTACTGTTCTACAGCTAGCTGCCTCTGGATCTAGATGATGCGTAAACTTTTGTTGAGCGAACCAATCTTTAGTATCTTTGTCTGCTCGTGGCAGTAGGAGGGCTAGTGTTCTCAAGGTCTCTTCCACCAAGCCGGCGGGATAGATGTGACTACACCCGTTATTAGCGCGGTTCGCTGCTGGTTGCAAGTCGAAAGCTTCTACTTTTTTAATTGCAAGTTCAAATACGAGGCGTAATGATAGATGTAGACTTGGTTATCTTTTGGTTTCATCTTCAAGTGATCAAGTAAGTTATTTGTCCATATGATTTTCAAACCACCCAGTTCTTCAATCCGTTGAGCTGTAAAAGACTTATCAAGGATAACGGATTGTTTGACACTGAATTCTGTCTCAGATCCAGGCGATTGCTTTGACTTTGGCCTAAAATGTCGCTCAAAAGATCTCTCCACAGTGCCTTCTACCCACGTCAGAGCTGACTCCTCAGGGCAAACACCCTGCCAGAAATTCCAGATGGGTACCATCAAGACCAGCCGTACAGTCAAATCGATAATCTCACTTGCGATAATTCGACAGTCACCAAGTAGGAATTCGCCGAGATGTAACTCAATCTCTTGTCGAGTTGATCCGGCCATAAACATCTTAGCCACCTTAGTTACGTGCGAAAACTTCAACTCGGATAAGTCGTACTTTTCCCAATTATTCAAAGCTTGGCGGCATTGTATTTCGAAAAACTCAAAATAAGTATTGGCGCCAATCTGTAAATGAGGTGATATAGTTGCTAGGCCTCCCCAAAAAGTCTCCAGTAGTGCCACTTTACAAATAGGTATGAGTGCACCGCCGGCAAGAAACATGAGCGGATCCTGTAACGGATCACGATCTCGAGATCTTACGTATAGAGGCATTGTAAATAGGCAAGTGAGACTAGCGTAATATTGAGCGATTAAGCAAGATTTTTTGTTTGATGGAGCCGGATACCCAAGACTATTGATTCGAGAATTTTGTCCAGGTCGCGAAGTTTTGAAGAAAAAGGAGGGTCGAAAATTTCGAGATGGGGTTCAGATATGTATGTAAAAATAGAGATGATATAATAGAGAATGCTTTTGTGCTACAGTTAGTGTGAGAGAAGGCGGGGAGTGTGTTAAATCAAACCAAGGTCTTGAAATTATTTTGAAAGTAAAGAAGAGGCTGTAGAGATGATTCAACTGTATTGCCAAAATCAGACGCTCATCGAGGAAGGGAGGGGTAAAATGATCGAGAACCACTTTTAGACTGAAAAGATAGACGCTGAAGGGATCATTTTTGAAGCAATTCAAATTTTAGAGAAGCTGTCACTGGTTTTAGAGAGTCGCGAAGTTGTGCATATTCAATAAAGGGTCCTTGACATTACTTGAATTGCAAGCCGTGGGAGGGCGGGCACATGTGGAAAAAGGCTAAACTCGTTGATCATGTCTCGCATTCCGTCTTGCTTGAGCGAATTCGGTCTTGAGTCATCCGAGTCGCAGGGAATCTCATCCTCTGCTCAAACGATGATGCTAATTAGCAACTATGGTGCTGGATTTTAGTCCTATCATACAATATTCTAGCGTACGCTATAAATTGAAGCGTAGCATTATATCCGCCACCTTGTGAACGAAGAGCTAGAAGAGCTACTTACCGTCTCATCTTGAATACTTGGATCGTCGATTCGCACGCGTCTTGCAGCCTCATCCTTTATCCTGTGGATAAGATCAGCTCCCTTCCCCGAATCTGACTCTCTTTTTTCGTCAGTGACACCCATGTATACCCACAATTATCACCCCTTGTTCTGACATTCCCATGAGACAATGTAATAAGCGCTAGCGGAAGACCGGCTGAAGAATTCGATGACATAAGTTCCAAGTTTCAGCGTAAATTTCTAGTGTGAAATGATGCAATAAAATGCTGGATAAGTTTGGTTTAAACAACGAGTATGGCGGCGGGAGCGGGTAAGAGTTGAAGAACGAGATCAGGATAAATGGGACGAATGGAGAAATCTAAAATCGTTTAATCCGAAATGGCACCAGCTTCTTCTTAGCGATCCGATCACTTCTCATTTGATTCCTCCCGTCCAGGTAACAGGATGGGCATCATGTGCGCTTTTAAACATCCAACGCGTATCGTCAATATCAAATTAACCGGCGACAATTCCTAGATGTAGGTAAAAATTTAGAGGCCTAGCCAATGCTTCATAGATTCCAGTCTGTCTCCCTGCTAGATCAAAAGTACTCACGAGTTCAGTTTTCTTGCAGCTCTCATCCTCTGCCAATAAAACTTTGAATATCGGCACATGCAACATGTTAGTTTGATCCTCCATCATTTGAGCTCTCCGTGCTTGGTACCTATTAAGGAGGCCTGCGTTTGAGGACTTGTGTGGGGGTAGAGCTCATAGATTGCGACGTGTTTTGGCTTGACGTGGCGAATCAAAATGATCAGTGATATAAGGGCCCACGAAAGACTTGAGCGAGTGATTATATCGGATTAATGCAGGATGATAATTAATCTTGATGACGCCGCAAAGTACCTTAAAACTGAGATTGAAGCCACGATTGACCCGTCATGTCAAACCCCACATGATATAGTTTCACTTCCATTGCGTTTATTCTGGAAGGAAAGCGTCCCTCAGCAAATGCCTAATCTAGATGGTTATCCCAGTGCACGGAGAAGGTTGTGCAGAGCATGCAAAATGCTTCCAATCGGATACAGAACATTCGAAACTCTGGCTTCTCTGGGGCGGAGATTTTGGCATGGCTCAGTGCTAGGAGAAGAAAGTATGAGGCCAAGCGCTCGACTCATAGTAGTTGACAACCGGGGAAAGCTAATGGATGACCCAGGAGGTACAGGTTCATGGGATTCGGGGTATAGCTAGAAAAAGCTCGGACCTGGCAAGGCAATCTCTGGCCAGTCGTCCACTACCTTATCCAAACAGCTCTCAAGCTTGAAGGCCTTATCCCTCTAGAATCAATAATTAGCTCATGAGGAGCAGATAGATTATCTGCCGACCAGCGATGGCCTGAGGTCACAAAAATTCCTTTCGGTCCAAATAATAGGATTGCAGCAATCGGAAATTGAGCTTGGGCTCACAATAAAATACAGAGTACACTTTGTCTACATGTGTGGGACACTGCTTCAGGTGACGAAGAACAAGCACCTGACCTTAGTCCCCTTTATGGATCCGAAGAAAAATATTCCTACGGAGCTGGGTTCAGCCAAATTCTGTGATACAGAAGAAAATGGCCCATTAGGGAATGATTCAAGACTTTAACTACTTAATCGCTTCACCATCAACAAGTAAAATCATAGATGGAAATTCACCAAACCTAAACTTGCGACCTGACGCATCCTCATATCAACAATTAAATCTCTCGTCGACTCCAGATCTTGCTTCAGTCGGTCCCCAAACACGTCCCCATGACAGTACGACTAGCCACCGAAGAGTAAAATCCGGGCATACGAATCTGAAAGGCAAATATCTAGGGTATGTGTGGACAGATGAGCAAAGTTATGCTTGGGATAGATATAACCTCTATAGGTCGATGTCGGATTACTTGCTCCGGTAGGCCTGAGGTTGGATTTATGCCTTAGGTACATTATTGGATACAGATGGTAATGACGCTTCGGCGGCGTCCACTGTCAGGTAACGGGGAGCCTGACCTGTGACAGGCGAAGTGTATGTAATTAAATTAAAAGATAACTCAGTAAAAACAACTTGATTCCTATTTCTCCCGGAATTCTAGGACTATATACACTGATCATCAATGAATTCATCTCTTGATCTCTAAATATAGACATGCGCTAGGAATAGAATGACCTGTGGTTCTAAATACAGAATGCGAGCACTGACCGAAACAAACAACCTACGTACGTATGGACAGTCCCTATTTTTGACCCGAGACATTTCCCTGTCCAACTTCTTCGGTGGTTATTCTTAGCCGTCGACATCCATAGATGTATATACATACAAAGATTAACCAGCCACCACTTCTGCTTTAGCAAACCCATTCTCATTACCTCTGATATCACAGAGATTGGCCCTGTCATACCAACAGTTGAGATTCAGGTCATTGGGAAGGAGTCTTTATACTAAAGAGCATTAGCGCGCCACGAGCTCGTTAGTGAAAGCGCAGGCGCCACTAAAAGTACGGCCATGACTTAAAAGCGCAGGGATATATTATGGAGGCTAGTATCTTAAAAATATTGGTTAGCTTGGACATCTATCCTACTTAATAAAGGAAATCGCTGCATCGGACATGGCAAGATTCAGCGCCACTTCTCATGGTGCTCGTGTAGAGGATGATGAAAGTATATTTGGATTACCGAGGATTCTCAGGCCTCTTTTTGATGGATACGAACGGAGTTGAGTCAATTATTTAGTATAAGTAATAATATTTCATTGGTATTTGCGAATGAATTCCAGAGTATGAATGTCTTTTAAGTCGATAGACTCTTGTCAATGTAAAGAAATCAATGATCACATGTCATACTTAAATAGCTGAATTATTAGAATTTAGAATTATTTTTATGTCTACCGGGCAGTAGTTACAACTAGAGCCGCATCCCTGGGCTAGAATTTGGAATATTTTATTTCTTTAAATTTGATTTCATTTAACCCGTATTGGCGCCCTGTGGGCTCATGCAGGCGGCTACGAACCTATCTACATATTTACATGAGGAGGAAACCTTGCGGTAAAAACCCCCTCCCCCTATTAAATTTTTTACCTGTAGTACTTCGTTACCTACAGTAAGTGCAATTGGCCTTCAGTCAGAGAAAAATCTAGGTAAAATTAAAGTTTCCCTCGCCATCCTTTCCCTGCCCTCGCGTGCTGAAAAGAGTTGGCTATAGTCTTGAACTTGACCCAGATGGCGCAAATAGATGTTTTTGTAGGGCTGGGACCAGGGGCTGTTTGTGCGGGCGTCCTGGCCCTCTCTTGACGCCCTCAGACTTTTGATGGGACACGAGTGTGAGCCCTTGGCCGGTTGCTATAATCGCCATGGGTTGATTTATTACCGTTGGTCTTATTTCTTCCATTCTTATATCTGCCACTAGTTCTAAAAGTCCCCACCTTGCCCTTTGAATACTAGCCTTATATAACGCGAAGTTTTGACACGACTTTTTCTGCCACGACATATGCGCCTTGCCACAGTTGCAGCAAAGCACCGATTTCTTCGGGCAGTCTCTGGTCTGGTGAGTGCCCGCACACTCACCACATCTCCTTGTCATATTGCAGAAAGCTTGGGTATGCCCCCATTTGCTGCAGTTGAAGCACTGCTTGACTTGTGCTCGGGGTGACCAGAGCTGGGCCGTGTAGAGCATTGAATCCATCACAATGCCGTTTCTAACCACTTCGCGTTGAAGAGCCTCAGTCGGAAGGCTTATGATAACTGACCCTCGGGAATGGCCGTTTTTCTTCATCCATTGGTGCTCTTTGCCGTCATTAAGCCACCTCAACCTGTTAATTTGGATTCCAGGAATCCGGGCTTTTGTCTCCGTTGTCATCTTTAACATTGCCACGCTATTGTTTGCGTTCTTTCCTCCGTGTATAATTGTCTCCAATGGGACTCCCAAAATTTCAACAGGGTAATCCTACTTTAGGACGCAGAACTCCATTGGTTGTGCCATTTTCAAGGCAGCGTCTCGCTGGGAGACTGACTGCACAAACACCTCTGTGTCATTACTTCTCAGCAGCCTTACGGCATATGCCCCCTCGATGTGTTTTTTAGCCTTGTTTAGCAGCCCAGCTGGCTGCATCTTTTCTGATACTTCCGTTCGTATTCTTACGGCCGCTTTAGTTGCTGGAGGTGCAACGACTGAGGTGTACGTTGGTCGGCCTCCCATTCCTAGTGTCGACTGAGGAGCCATCTTGCGCACTGGCACCTCGAGGCTCTT